TAATACTTTTTATTATGGTAAAAAACATATCGATGAAGGAAAATTAAAAAGTGCCAGTGTAATATTAACATCTGAAGAAACTGGTATTTCAAAAAGTACCATTTTGTCCACCATCAAACAAATGTAACATGAGAGCCATTCCACGCGTGACGGATGGGATAGTTGCCGTGTTTTTATTTACAAAATAATGTTCTATTGTATTGCCAATGTCAAATTTTTATAAATGGTTCTAAACTGGAGCTGTTTAACAAGGTTTTTATTTGGCAAAATTGGGTATCGTGATTGACTGTCCAATTCCTTAAAAACTAATAATTTAAAGCGTAACGGTCGGGACTTTGCAATAGTCCCGCCCGTTACGCTTTAAATTATTAATTTTTAAGGAATTGGACAGTCAATCACGATACCTAATTTTGCCAAATAAAAACCTTGTTAAACAGCTTTTGTTTAGAGCTATTTATAAAAAATTGACATTGGTAATATGGTGGAACAATATTATTTTGTAAATAAAAACACGGCGGCTGTCCTATCCGTTAAGCGTGGAATGGCCCATGACGGAAAGGCTACATCCCCATTAAAGAAAAGAAAGCGGGCAAGTCAATACCTATGACAGATTGAGTGAGGAACAAAAGAAGCGCCTAAAAAAACTTGTTCATAACTTATAAATAATGAAATTTAAGTAAAATTTATCAAGTAAGTAATTATGTTATTGAAATATGTTTATAAATTGATTAAAAAAATGTTCCCTTAATGTAAATAATAAATAAAATAGGGGGTAGGTGTACCAGGTGCTGTCAAATAATAAAAATTGGTTTTGCTTTAAATAAATAGGTTTTTATTATTAGTCTGTAAAGGATGAGGATAACTTACCACCAATTTCTCGGACAAATTTATGGAGAATTTAAAAAAAACTTGTATGAAAAAAGGGGTAGGAATCATTTACTGATTAAAAAAAGTGAAATAGTAATTTGGAGAAGAAAATATATTGATAATATCAGGAGTTACCGATTACAGGATCAATAAAGATATTACATGGATGAGATTTGGATCAATGCAGGACACAAAGCCCAAGGTGTGTAAATGTATTTGAGCAAAAGTCAACAGGGAATTATCATGAGGATATAAATGGAACTGTTTTTGAGACTTGGATAAAAAATGTTTTACCAAAATTAAAAAAGAACATTGTTATTGTGATGCCCCCTATCATTCTGTTAAAATTGAAAAAAAAAATCCATCAGCAGCATGGAAATTGGGAGGTCATTTTGACCTGATTTGTCTCTGTAAAATTTTGTTTTTTGTTTTAATAAAACCTTCAATAATTGCATTTGTATTTTATTTAAGCCTTACTTTTCTAATGGTTAATCCGTCAATAAAGATATTTATTTATTTATTTATTTATTTATATTAAAAAATGCACTTTTCAAATCCATGGAAGTATGCTTACACTCAAAGAAAAAATTAATTTTTTCCGTTCATTTGCCATTTAATTTTTCTTACATGTTTAATAAAACTCGGTCTATTTGTTAATTACTAAATTTTTATATTATAAAATCATAAAAATTAACTAAAAACATTAAAATATGTATTATTTTCCACATCAATAAAATGAACTGACATTTAAATAAGAAATGCAGTTAAAAATTGAAGTTATGTTGCTCAAATTAATGTTTATTTCTTCTTATTTTCTGAAAATAATATAATACATGTATTTTTCTGTGTCTAAAGGTCTTAATTGGTATAGTAAATTATTTTTTCATGGTATAATACATTCAAGGTTGTTATGATTTGTCCATATTTGTTGTAACATAATAATATTCTATCAACGACATCTGCCATTATATTTAAATTTGCCGCGTACTCCTGTGTAAACCTGTCTCGTTTTGCAGCGACATCTACTCTATTCTTAAATGGAATGGACTATAATTATAAACACTTTAAATATTAAACCTAATTTTCATAATAATATTGTTTTACCATTAGATATTTTTGTACTCAATTTACACAAGTATTGTTTTGATCGCACGACCCTCTTTAATCAATAAATATTATGTCTTTTGTTAATCCAGCAAGAAAAATCCTCCTCATAATTGGCGTAATATTTACAATAATGTTCGGATTTTCTCGTAAGTACAGCTCTCCAAGATTACCAATATCGGCTTGCTTTTTTTAGTAAAGAGTGCGCCATAAAAACCGCACAAATTTCGAAGCGGAATAAAAAAAAATTGGGATGCTTTAGTACCTATTAAAGACAGGAGATCATTGAAAACAATTGAGGCGTTTCTCGGAAAAACAACCTCCATATATACGTATACAAATAAGTGTTTCTCGTAAAAATGTCATAGGTTCCATAATAATTAAATATGAAATTTAGCTTGTTCTTCTAAAAACATCACAAGTCCACTCCGTTTCGTCTAAGAAAGTCACATGTGCATAACATGTGACTTTCTGCATACGATCTGCCAATACCAATTAAGAAAACAAACACTCTAGAAAAGCTTCTACCTCTTTTACATGACCACAGCAATAGAAAATTTTATGATAACTTGATAAAAGACCAGAAGACCATAGCACATGACAGTCCTGATAACACGGTCGACAACGATGATAACAGCAGTGGATGCGAAGACTGCGTGTGGCAGTAATACAGTTTTTAGTTTTTTCATTTATTTTGTTACTCAGAGTTAATATTAAGTTTGTAGTAAGGACAATTGTTCGTTTTTTTCATGTATTTTTTGTGTTTTTTTCATATTCGTTTGAAAAAAAACATGAGGAATTCTGGACAAAGTATCTTAAATTTTTTTACATGTAGTGAATAGGTCAATAAAGTACTTTGGTCAAAAATGGGAATGTCGGAGAGTTTTTTTCATTTTCCCAAATATGTTAATTTTGGACTAATGATGTTTTTCCGAGAAACGCGTCAATTGTTAATTTCGATTTTCAACTTTTTTTCGATTTTTCGCAGAAGATTCGTGTTGTAGGCCTCTTGGTAGCTATGGAAATAGACAAAATAACTTTTATAATCAATAATCAGTGCCTTGATAATCTTCAAGAGATGAATAATCGCTAACACTTTTCAATTTGGTTTTGTCCCATAGAAACACCATTCTGCGATGGGTAAACTGGATCAGCTTCAAAGGCCAAACCCACAGTTCGACCAGTGTCAACATAGAGTGCAATTTTAAAAATCCCGAAACGGTCAGCAAGATCTTCAAATTCTACTGCGCAAAAATTTACAAAATTCAGCTGGTGCAAGATTTTCTTCAACGTTTAAAAACCTCACAAACCTGATTCATAATGTGTTGGTGTCAGACGGGGCCCATTTTTACCTCTCAGAATATGTGAATAAGGAGAATTGCCGCTATTGGTCTCAAAAGAATCCTAAAGAAATCCATCTTATTCCTCTACACAGCCAAAAAGTGACTGTTTGGTGCGCAGTATCCGTGCGAGGAATAATTGGACCTTATTTTTTTTTAAGATGAAAACGGAAATAATGTCACCGTTAATGCAGATCGCTATGTGCACATGTTACAGAAATTTGTTCACCCAGATATGCGCCGTTTTCCTGCTGACACAATGTGGTTTCAGCAGGACTTGTCACACGGCCAGAATATCCTTAGTTTTTTTAAGGCAAATGTTCACAGAACGTCTCATATGCATATCAAAAAATGGTGATTTACCATGGCCACCAAGGTCATTGAAAAGTAGTCTGTATACGAATAACCCTCTATACACCCTGTATATATTTTTTGTAAAATATCGTTACAAAACTTTTTGAGTTTTTCTTTCAAATGAAACCACAACGAAGATTCAAGCTTGTTCCACTGCTGAGAAATTACGTCATTAAAAATTTTTAATCTCCACTTTTTATACAAATAGATTACTTGCGCGTCTGTTGGATTTATCTGAGCATTTGCGAAATGTACAAAAAGATCATTTTCTATAGATTGAGTCATGTGCATTTCGTGAAAAGTTTTTGCCGAAGCCGAAGCCTGATTCAAAATACGAAATAAATAAAGATTAAGCTTCGTCACTACAGCGTAGCAAATTGTACGCTTGAGCCACTTATAGCCGGGGTAAATAGAAAAAAATTATTTCAATACCATTTAAACCATCTCTCAATAAAACAGATTTTTTCTTCGTATGTACGGTTTCCTTTAAGAACTTAATGGTAATGCTTGCCAAGCAGTTATAATTGCGTATAACCCCTTTTCGTTTAACAATTATTTTATTTCTTACAGAATGCTGGGAAACAAAACGTTTGCAAAATTAAAATCTTACAGCCTTAGAAACACGTTTTCTCATAATCCAGTTGGTTTTTGTTTTCTCAAAAAAGTTTTTTATGAAAATTTCACATTTTTCATCATTACTTTTACCATGCAATAATATGCACTGCATTGTCACTTTAAATTGCTAACATCTTCCCCTTCATATTGTAACAGAAAAATCAGAAACTATAGAGCTTATTAAGCTTTTACAGTATTCTTCATTCATTGTGTAATGATAACAATATTGTATCTACTTCAAACCAATCACATTCCAAGTATATTTTTAATTTCTTAGATTTATTCACGTGTTATTTTAAATAAACAAATAAACTGAACAAATTAAGTACGTTTTGCCAACTCAAAAAAGTCATTTCGTTTATAAGAAGTCAGTCGTGCCGAAATATAGACGCATTTATTGATGAACTAACTATAAATCTTGCAAGAAAAGCGTAGTTGACGAATTGGGTACGTTTTTACGCAGATATTGAGACGGGCAATACGTCTCGGTTTCGACACCACTGCGGGGACCAAATGAGTACACTTTTCGAAATAATTTAATTTAAATTTCAAAAAAATTTCTTCTTAGAGAAAAACTGAGTCTAAGCAGACTCAGTAATTTTATTTTGCCGCCCCGGGCCCCCGACGGTCTTAGTCCGCCACTGTTGTTTTGTACCTACCTATACTAAATTAGTATTACTAATATTAAATACTATTCTTTATTGTTTTTTATTGTTATAGGAACATGTTAATACGGATAGAAGGGACCTTTTTGGTCGCTATATTGGTGTTATGTAGTACTAGATCAGCTGAGGTATGTATCATATTTTCTTTATACACAACTATCATATAATAACTATTATAACCTTTATAATATAATCTGGGCCGGATTTACCTATAAGCAAAATAAGCAGTAGCTTGGGGCCCGGGCTCGACGGGAGCCCCTAATTTATGCCTGAAAATTTTTTAGTTGTAAGCATTTAAAAATTTAAAGATGAAAAATAATACATAATAAATTTGAATATCAATTACGGTTTAATAGGAATATTCAATACTCAATTATTGGCAATAATATTTAATAGTATTGGCGCTGGCTATGTTAAACTAGAGACCCTTCAACATATAAAGGGTTAAATTATTCTCAAATAAAGGTCCCCTTCTCTGAATTTTTCTTAGGGCCCTTTAAAATGTAAATCCGGCCCTGAATATAATTTAATAACATTTATTAGGTACCACTTGTGTGTTAATAAAATTAATAATATCCTAAATAAAATTAAACATTTTTAACGTTAATATCTAGGACATTTTACGTTTATATACATACGATTTTCGTTTCAAGAAAGCAATCAAATTTAGATATTTCTTGATGTAGACATTCTGATTCCATGAAATTCCCATTCCTCAATAACGAGTAATAGCACCAAAGAGGGCTTATGTGTTTTGCTTAATTTGTTGAAATATACTAGTAATCCTTTCTTGCTTGTTGGTTATTTCGCGAATTCGACAACGAGGGTAGGAAGGTGTGCCTTCAAATGTACCTATTGACTCGTAATCGAATTCTGAATAACTTTAAAAATTTCTGTTGTCTTTTAGTCTAGTTTAAACCTTATAGCTTGGACACCGATAGCGGTAGAAACTTGAAATTTTTTGGGCGTGACAAATGCCAAAGTTCATTTTTTTTTTCGATATTTCCGGCAAAGTTAGCCCGATTATTTTAAATCGCTTGAGAAGAGGAGTAATTTGGGAAAAGTTGCTTATATATTTCGATCTTTATTGAAAAGGGGCAGGTTTCCCTTAAAAACTTTTCGAGTTGCAATTTTTTTACGATTTTTTTTAAATTTTAAAAAATGTTTTTCTCTAAAATGTAAAGGAAATTGGGCAGACAAAACCGAAACGACAAAAAGTCCGTTTATTTTTTTTTGGCATTCAATAGAGTTTATTAATTAAAAAACCCTAAAACCACATCAAATTCAGGAAAATTCAACAAAATATTAAGTTGCCAAAATTCCGTTAATTTTTTTGGCATTCAATGAAGTTTATTAATTAAAATCCCTAAAATCACACCAAATTCTGATAGATCTTTAAATTAAAGTCCATTTAATTAACAGATTAATATCTATTAAGTTAACAGATGAGAGTAAAAGATAAACGGTTACAGGTATCAAGTAGACTGATGACAGCTTTAGACATATTTAAAAATCATCTTTTTAATTAATTAATTTCCTTCAAGCGGTCGTGGCGCAATAACCACCCGCAAGAGTGTTTTGTTAGTTAAGTTAAATATCTTTTTTCACTGCACCCTTTTTCGTACCGATTAAATGCTTCTTGGTATTCTTCCGTGATTTATCTGGCACAAGAAACAATATTGAAAGCTTCGTTCTTAATATCAGATAGCAGATCATCGCTTAAACTCATGTTAAAATGTGCAATTTTCGGACACAACTTTGACAATGATTAAAGCAATTTAGTTATAATCGTACATATGCCTTAATACAAATTCTTACTACCTGTACTCAGACCACCCATACTGGGGCCCCATAACTATAGTTATAATTTATTTTCCGGCCCTATACATACCCCATTAAAGAAATGATACTTCTAAAAAAACAACCCCCAAGTTTTTTGTATAATTTCTTCAGAGATTTGAGAGTTTTTGAAAATATCAGTTCTACTTAAATATTATGCAATTGTCTGGCGCTCAGCAGCACATTTCTGTTCTCTCTCTAGCCAAATATTTTTCTTTGCATCACCCTATTTTGACAGATGGCGGTTTAACACAGTATGTTAACTTTAAAGGAACTTTAATCCAAGTGTCGGTTTTACGTACGCACGTTTGTCAGTATCTGGTACACAAATTTGTTTCCCATATGGGACATATGTCGATAATTGGGTCAAATGGTACTTTTTAAAATTGTTTTTTGCAAATAAATTATGTATTGCTATTTGAAATGTAGACATCTCACAGTACAGCAATAATCAATATTGTGAAAATCCACATCTACAAACTGTAGCTTTAATACAGTTTAATATTAATAAATCTGTAATATTCATTTATTAATATTAAACTGTTTTAAAGCTACATTGTATATGGCCATTGATTTAGCGTCGATAATTAGGACATTTACCTTAAATCCTACTTGTTAAGTAAATAACTACATATAAACATATTGGTTGTTAAGTACTTAAACAAAAAGTTTATTTACTCAGGTTTAAACTGAATTAAACTTGGTTTAAACTAATTAAACTTAGTTTAATCTAAGAATATTTCATCGTTTATAAAAACTGACCTTGGTAGAAATTGAAGGTTATAAAAACTTTTTCCAAAAATGTATAATTTTATGTTTAATGGTCCTGGTTTATAACGTTAACATACTAACGTTACTTATATGGTTTTTTATGTTAGCATACTATAGTCGCCGCCAAATCTGCATGGGTGCACGTCATCAATGTCATCAACTAAGATTTTATCCTAGCCCTTATATCATCTACATAAAATTTAAGTAAAATCTGAGTAAAATGACCCATAAGCGTATTGTTTACCAAGAACCATAACAATTTCCTTGTTTTTAAACGTTTTTAATAAAATTGTAAAAAAAACGTTAATGACGTGCACCCATGCATTATATTATTCTATTTTGACTTAAATAAAACTGCATTTATTATGTAAACGTAGAAAAAATATAATATTTTTTTATGTTTCAGTATTCTACCAGTAGTTTATTTACATGTCCCAATGGTAAGTAAAACTTTATAATAGTAACTTCATAAAGTTTATACGTAGTTTTCTTAAAAGTTAAAATTAGACATTTCGAATAATTTTTATTCGCTTTTGTGCTGGCAAAGAAGAAAAATAAAATAAGCATATTGAGGTCGTATACGATCTTTTTTGTATACAAAACGAAAGCTAAATAATATTATTTTAAATGCAGCCTTTACTAAAATTAAAAGAAAAATGCACTTTTTTACAAGCCTTCATTAAATTTTTATATATATATAGATATATGTATATTAGGGTGAGCCAAAAAAACTAACCTATCGGATTTATGGGTTAAAATGAACCTATATACCGAGCAAAAAATTTCCCTGCAAGGCAAAATTTTTTGCTCAATTTTAAAAGGTGTCGGTGAGCATTCTAAGTTTTCCATTGAAATAACACGTAAAAAAATCTTTTTTCATTAAAAAGACTATAACTTTTGAACCGTTTGAGATAAAATTTTTTACGTCGCGGAATCTTGTAAATTATAAAATTTCCCAAATACCATGATTTTTTTTTAATTCAAAAATTCGTATGTTTGAAAGCTTTGAAAAGTGTAAAAAATCACTAAAACTGCAAATTGTAGTGATTTTTTACACTTTTCAAAGCTTTCAAACATACGAATTTTTGAATAAAAAAAAATAATCCTGGTATAGATTCTTTGGGAAATTTTATGCTCTACAAGAATCCGCGACGTAAAAAATTTTATCTCAAACGGTTCAAAAGTTATAGTCTTTTTAATGAAAAAAGATTTTTTTACGTGTTATTTCAATGGAAAACTTAGAATGCTCACCGACACCTTTTAAAATTGAGCAAAAAATTTGGCCTTGCAGGGAAATTTTTTGCTCGGTATGTAGGTTCATTTTAACCCATAAATCCGATAGGTTAGTTTTTTTGGCTCACCCTAATGTATATATATATATATATATATATATATATATATGTATATATATATATATCTACGAATATTTATATAATACCAAGTTTGGTACTTCGTATGTCAAACAAAAAAATATTAAAACCAGAACTAAAAGGACCTGCTTTTTCAAAACTATATATTTTAATGATAGTATATTAAGGCTAGTATATTGTTTTATATAGTATATTTACTTACCTTTAAATTTATCAGACAGATAACTGTTAAACTTACAATTGTTGACATAACATTTAGGCATTAAGTAGGTAAATTTAGTGAAGTGAATATACTGGCCCTTAATTTCAATTTGTCGCCAAATCAATCCGTTAAACGTCATTAAAAACGGATACATAAAAATTAGAACATTTCTTGTCGGACGATATTAACGAAAAACCGACAAACGGATAACGGACAAACGGATACATAAAAATTTAGCTTTACCTAAAACAGGGAGGGAATGAAAATATATACTGGGGAAGGAATAAGATTGTTCACAGCGGGAGAAAAGAATATTATTATATATGAACACTTGAGAATACAATCGGCGCGCCGCGGCGCATTATAAACCACTCGACAAAAAATATATTGTTTCTTGGTTTACAATTTATTTTACATTTATATATCCAGAGAAACCAAGTTTGGTTAAGAAATTAGTCAACCTTTTCCCAACTAAGTTTGGTATACGATATTTTACATTGGGGTTTATTTATATATGAGTTGTCATTGTCGTATTTTATACCGATCATTTCCCAACGCGATAGGTTAAAAACTGCATGAAAATAAAAACTTAAATATATTTATTTTTTGATCGAAAATTTGCAAACGTTGACCAGTTTGCTTATGCGCATTAGCGAGTATATAAATAAATCAATATTTAGGTTAAAGAGCTGTTTCAATGACAAGTTATAAAACTAAAAACTTTTATAATACAGTTCGGTTTTGGGTCTCGTGTCGTCGGTTGCTCTATAAAAGAGTATATGAAAAATAAGTGACTTCTCGACCCAGGAGAGGCAAAATCGGACTCCCACTGTAAAAACAAACTGGTTTTAATCAAGAATTTGCAAAAATATATGGAAATAATTAAGAGATGGATCGGATGATTGAAGATTAAAGATAATTGGAAAATTCTGTGTATGAAGCCATGAGTTAATCTCAGATACTTTTAAATAAGACCCTTGATCATAATAAAAAAAATTGTGCTGGCCAAATAGCTTTTAAATTAAGCTAAAGGTCATTCCTCTGAACACAGAATTGTGTTCAATATTAAGAAGAAGAAGAAGAAAACTAAAAACTTATATTTTGTGCAAAAAGGCGTAAAAAACTGTTTAAAAAAAATTCACAGATTCATCTGTGTAAACTTTTAAACAACTTTAAATACTGTTGTTCCCAAAAATTAAAAGATTTCAATATAAACGAAAAAAGCTTCAAAATTTCTTTTGTCTAGTAATATTCTTCCACATTTAATAATAATTTGTAAATACTCGAGATTTGTTTAAAGTAAAAAATCTGGCATTGTTTTTTAATGTCCAAATATTCCCAAAATTATAGCTACCAACGCACTGTGGGCCCTATGCCCAAACTAGGTTGCAATAAGTCATTATTGAAAATGTATAATTTGCCACTATTGTTTTATTAAAAACATAATGAAACTTGTAAAAACATAATTGCTTTTTGAAAATACTCTTTTTTATAAATGCCCAATGTCAGATCTTTAAAAGAAAGTCTATTTTTAATGCAATCGTTTTAAGTACGATTTTTGCGAATTTTTTATAGCTTAGAGGGCCGTGAAAAGCAAAAGTCTCCTTAAACATTTTATAACTGACATTAGACCTGTCATGGGTACATAAAATTATAGAAAATTCGTGTTTTTTTCTGTTTTTGGCAAGAACTGATAAGGTAATTACCATGAATATTTAATTTTTTAAGTTTTGCAGAATAAAAAAAATAGGAAGGCCAACGAATGCCAAGCCAAAATATATATTTTTTATTAGACAAAGATGTAGACTACTAAAAACTGTCAACCAAAAAAATCCCAAAAAATTGCGAAACTTATCCCAGTCAAAAATGTAAACCTCTGAGAAAAGAAAATATTAACAATTAATATGAATCTTAAGTTGTTTATCGCATGTATTGCTTGGGCAATGAGCAAATTATATACATGGCGTTTAATATTTGTTAAAAGTGTTTACGCCTACTTTTTCTTTTTAATATTACATTAAGGTGGCCTAGATGCATTGTTAAAAGTTGCTCAAAAGGCATTAAAAAATCACATTTAAGTCCAGAATTATGTTAAGAATCCGAGAATGTAAATATATACAGGGGTTTCTATTTAATTTTTTGAACCTGGACCCATTTCCGGTGAAACCGGAAGTGACCGAAAAAATATGCGAAATCCCTCCTCTTTATACACCATTTACCTATTACCAACACTCTGTATTTCACTTTTTATCTGCTAAACGAAGCAACTGCGTTGAGTCAAATTGACCTATTAACAGAAAAGGAATCTCTAGATTTAATGTTCAATTTTCGGGATAAAACATAGTAACTATCGCGATATATCGATAGTAGGTATGCAGACATTACAAAATACTTTTTTCTGGCTAAACCGCTCATCGAACTTTTACAAGAGACAAAAAGTTTTTAAACATTCCCTGCACATGTCAGGAATATTCCCAGGAATATTCCAAGCGTCCCAGAATATTCCCAGGAATATTCCTGGCATAATCAAATGTCCGCTTTTTGGTTAACCCAGGCATCATAAAAAGAATATTCCATATATCTGCCTGCAGAAGACTCAAGGATAGTTAGGGGAATATTCCTTGATATAATTTGGGGATTATTCCCAGCCCTTATTGCCTCTTATACCCAGGAACTTAACTAAAGTATATCCATTATTGAGTTACTGAGTAGATCAGTCCCACTCTAATCATTGTTTGGCTGTGTCATCACAGACTCACATCTCCAACTGATATTATTAACCTATCGGTATATATAGTTATCAAGCGTGCGTAAGCAATGGTGAGAGGTATTGCAACTAAACTAATGAATATTCACTGGGAATGTTCTTAGATGATGCTTGGAAGTTAGAGGATCATTCTAGGAATATTTCCAATGAATATTCCTAGAATGAAGCGGATTATTCCTAGGCGATAGAGAATATTCCTGGAATATTTTCGAACCTTCATTGCAGTCTGGGTATATCAACAGTAAAAAAATACAAGCGAAAATTAGTACCTAACCTTGCTTTTCTGATTATTCTAATTTTTAAAGATAACTGAGTGTAGCACCAAACGACGTTAATTACCAGTAAAATGATGTTATTTCTTGATAGGTATAAAATATTAACTGATACACAACATGGGTTTCGACCCAATCGTTCTACCGAAACTGCCAGCATACAGTTCCTACAACATGTCTATGATCGGCTGGATGGGGGAAACCATGTTCTTGGGGTTTTCTTTGACCTTAGCCGTGCTTTTGATACCATAGATACTACATTCCTGGTGGATAAATTATACAGGCTGGGTTTTAGGGGGGCCCCCCTAACATGGTTGAAATCATATCTTGCTGACAGGCAGATGTTTGTAAAAATAGAGGAAGCTAAGTCTGCTCTTTATCCCAGTGATATTGGGGTTCCCCAAGGATCGGTATTGGGTCCACTATTGTTTTCACTCTATATCAATGAACTTCCACGGTTTGTACAAGGAAATATAACTATGTATGCTGACGACACATCAATAGTGGTCTCAGAAACTGACTTGGCAAAACTTGGGTTACTAGCTGACCAAGTCTTAGTAAGTTTTAGGAATTGGTGTGCCAAAAACCGCCTTATGGTTAACATGGGCAAAACAGAATATATTTATTTCTCCGCCAAGAGCATCATAGATATTTCAAACGTCCTTAATCTAACACTTTCAAAAAACGTCAAGTTTCTCGGTACAATGGTAGATTCCCAATTGACTTGGGATTATCATATCGAATATGTTTGTGGTAAAATAGGCAGATCCAATTTCGCCCTATGCTCGCTATGCCGCGCACTTTGCCTAATCATTTGCTACTAATCCCT